CTGAGGTCGGAGGGAGGGCAGCACGCTGACGACTGTTGGACTGCATGGGGAGGGGGCTGATAAAAAAATAAATGTCTCATCGAGGGTCAAGTTATAGCTAGAGCACTACCAAGACCCTTGGAGATGGTCACTACCACAGGCCAGTTACAACTGGAGCACCTTCTTGTCGTTGGATACAGCCTCCGAAGTGTCAAATTCTCATTTAATTCTAATAAATTAAGATCATTTTTTATACAATATGTCAAACTCTTTCTAGATCTAACTCTGTCTTTCTTAATATAAGTAGATACTAAAACATCTACTCTCCTAATCGGATCATCAGATGGTCGATGTTTAATGTGACCAACCATCTAAGACGACCCTCTCTAATTTTGTCTGCCACTAAAGATGCCCTAGCCCTATCACGTATATATTCGTTTTTCATTTTGTCTCTAAGAGTAAAGCCACTAAACCACCTAAGCATTCTCATCGCGGCAACACTTAGTTTTATGCTTCTCTTTTAAAAGCCAACTATTAGTGCCATAGAGCATTGCATGTATCACCACCATCTTATAATTTTTTTCTTTCAGTCTAAGCAGTACTTTTCTATAACACAATAGGCCCGAAGCATTCCTCTACTTCAATTAGCCAACTTGAATTCTACTAATAACGTCCTCATCTATATCATCATCACTTTGAACAATAGACCCGAGATATCTAAAGTGTTCACACCTTTTAATAATTTGATCACCCACAGTTACAACTCTGTCACTAGAGTTACTACTACTAAAGGTACATTCCATGTATTCAATTTTAGTTCAACTCAAATGAAGGTCATTAGACTCCAATGTAGACCTCCATAATTTAAGTTTCCTTAGCTTTTTCTCTAGTCTTATCCACGTGAAGGATATCATCAACGAAAAGCATACACCAAGGTACATCCTCCTGTAAATGTCCAGTAAGAGGATCCGCAACTAAAGCAAAAGCATAAAGGCTTAAAGTCGATCACTGGGGTAATCCAACTGAAATAGCAAAATATTTAGTCAATCCTCCTGTTCGAACACAAGTAACCGCTCTAGTATACACATCTTTAATGACCTGAACATAAGTCATATCAAAACCTTCCTTCTCTAGAACTCTCCAAAGGATATCTCTTGAAACCTTATCGTAAGCTTTTTCCGTAAGCGAAACCTTATCGTAAGCTTTTTCTTAATCAATAAAAATCATATGTAGATCCTCCTTATTCTCTCTGAACTTCTCCATTGAAACTCTCAATAAATGTATAGCTTCAATAGTAGACCTGCTCGACATAAATACAGAATGATTATGAATACTCTTTGCAATATGAATTAACATGTTATGCTTAATTACCTTCTCCCATAATTTTTAAAAAGACACAGCAACTTAATTCCCCTATAATTTGCACACGCTTGTGCATCCCCTTTATTCTTAGAAATGGAGAACAAAATGCTCTTCCTCTACTAGTCAGACATCTTTTTAGTTTTCAAAATAATACTAAAGAGTATAGCAAGCTAAAAAACTCCCAAATCTCCAATTAATTTCCACACTTCAATTGGGATATCATCAGGTCCTATAGACATTCTACCATTAGTTTTCTTTAAAATCTCCTCAATTTTTTTTTACTAATGCGACAGTAAAAATGAAATATTTTATTATTATTAATGATATTAATATCAATAAAGTCGATTGTATCTTCAAAAACTTCAATAAAAAGATTATCAAAATAACTTAGCCACCTATATTGAATGTCTTTTTCTAAGAAAACCACTTTTTTCATCTTTAATATTGAATATCTTTTTCTAAGAAAAATACTTTTTGATTTTCATCTTTGATACACTTTACTTGAGTTAAATATTTTTCACTCTCCTTAGTATTTAATATATTATAAAGATCACTAGAAGCAGAATTTTTAGTGTCACGGATTGTTCTCTTAAACTCCCTACGACTCATTTTATATCATTCTCAGTTTTCTAAGCTTTTACATTTAAACCATTTTTTATAGCATAATTTCTTATATTTTATTTTTTCTTGCACATTATTATTCCACCACCAACTAAATCTATTTATAAAAAAATTTTCTTTTGATTCTCCGAGTACATCTTTTGTCACTTGTTTAATAATATTTGTTACTTTATCCTATATAGAATTTGTTTCTTCATGAACATCTCAAATCTTGAAATGTTGAAATTAACTCATAAAAATAATTTTATTTGTGTCTTTTAGGTGCTCACATCTAATTCTACGACAATGATTCCTATTATTCTTTCTTTTACAACTTTTCATCATAAAATTTAGAATTTAAATCGATGTTGAGTACTTAAATGTTCACTTAGAATAACCTTACAACACTTAGAATACTTAGAATAACCTTACAATCTTTACATTCTTGACGATCTCTTCTTCTCATAAGAAAATAATCCATTTGTGTTTTATTAGATTCATTGTTATATGTAATATTAAATCTTCACTTAGAATAACCTTACAATCTTTACATTCTTGATGATCTCTTCTTCTCATAAGAAAATAATTCATTAGTGTTTTATTAGATTCATTCTTATAAGTAATAATATGCGCATTTCTTTCCTTGAATAAATTATTAGCAATAACAAAATTATAAGTTAAAGCAAAATCTAATATGGCTATACCTTCTTCATTAATCACATCCCTCCAAAAGGGTAGCCACCATGAATATTTCTAAAATCTTCTACCACTCTACCGACATCTCCATTTAAATCTCCTCCAATAAAAATTCTTTATTCAAGTGTATCATTTGTACTGAGTCTTCTAAATCATTCCAGAATTTTTCTTTATAACTTAGCACTTAAAATATTAAAAATCTTAGTATAAATATTCTTAAGCGTTATAATTCTATCACCAATTTTATTATTTTTTACAGCATTATCATTCAAACTCTTACTTATAATTATACCTACACCATTTCTAGTATGACTCTTACCTGAATACCAAAGCTTAAAACCTAAGTTATCAATCTCCTTAGTCTTTTTTCCAACACATTTAGTTTCTTGAATACATAAGATATTTATCTTTCTATGAATCATGACATCAACTAATTCAATTAATTAACCTCTGACAGAACTTATATTCCAAGATTCATTTCCTAATATTAGTCTTACAGACTAACTTCTTTACTCGCATCCGTCCATATAGTGGGAACCCTTGCTTATTTGACACTACACCCAGACACCGGTGTAGCGGCCCTTGCACACTTTTCACTGTATTCAAGTCATACAACGCATCGCTTTCATGGGATGCCCTAGCATTTGCACATTAATCAAAAGGATTCATGTCATAATTTTTCAACAAATTTTATGTTGGTTGTCGACTACCTAACGCAATCCTCCACTTTTCACATCAAAGGTTCTCGACTTCTAATAAGCATAGAATTAAAACCAATTGATGCATACAAAGCAATAACAAAACGAGCAAATCCAACAAGTTTCGGCATGATAAGGTAAAGCTTCTAGGGAATGATGGATAAGTTCTGATAGAAAAGTGAATTTAGATAAGCAAAACATTGTCATCAAGAATAAAATATAGATCATCCTATAACAACCTAAATTGTCACCCATCAAGATATTGTTCTCTTTGGAATAATGGCCTCATGATTTTGTCTCCTTGGTATAACATCCCAAGAAGTCACCCATCCCAAGAGTGCTCCCTCATGAGCACGCTTAACTTTGGAGTTTTCGATGAAATTTCAATTGCTGCACGAATAAGCGCTTTGAAGCATTAGAGTTTAGCTTCATTCTACTTAAAGGGTTTCATAAACTCCGGTAATTGAGTAACTGGAGTTTTTATCAATCTTCTTAACCTGAAATTATCCACCAGGCAGAAATTCCTGTCTTTAAACTAGTGTAATGCTTTGATATTATTTCAAACAGCCTAAACTTTTTATCCATCGAGATATTGTTCGTGTTTTCCTAATGACCTAACGGTTTTGTCCAATTTGTGTAACTTCCCAGAAGATCACCCATCCTAAGAGTGTTCTCGCACGAGCATACTTAACTTTGAATTTTCTGATGAAATTTCAAACATTATACTAAGAAGTGCCTCGATGTATACAAGTTCAGCTTCATTCTACTTTAGAAGTTTCATAATCTCCCATTTTTAAGTAACTGATGTCCTTGTCAGTGTTCTTTACCCAAATCATCCACTAAGCAAATAGCATTCTAGAGGCAACTCCTTATAGATTCAGGAGGTGGCTCCCACCATGTAGCATTTTATCCCAACTAGGGTTTAACAAGTGGCACCCATGATATAGCATTTTGTTTTGTAAAGCACTTAGTTCTCATCATCAAGTGTAACGCTCTGATACCATTTCTAATAGCCCGGACTCTCATCCATCAAGATAATATCCGTTTTGGCCTAATAGTTTCAATATTTTGTCACATTGGTGTAACTTCCCAGGAAGTCACCCATCCCAGAAGTGCTTCTGCACGAGTACAGTAAACTTTGGAGTTTTTGATGAAATTTCAATTGATTAGCCAAAAGGAGCCTTGTTGTTTAAGAGTAACTTCATTTTAGTTGAGTGTTTCACACTTAAAAGCACCACCAAGGAAAACTTGAAATCCTACACAATGTTGGCACAATAACAAGCCTATTTAGCAACACATGGTGATTAGCACCTGCAAGGTGCTCTCAAGGAAGAGTAAGAATCAAGGAATTCACAAGCTCCATCATCCAGAAAATAATCAGCTCTCCATACCCCAAACCTTAGATGATTAGAACCTCCAATTCCTTATTTCAAGGACAGAACATAAGATAGTTTAACTGTAGCACCAAACATGTCAAACCTAAGTATTACAAGAAATAAATTTTAGTGAACATTTCACAAGTTTTTGCACATGTGAGGATGAAGAAGTAGATTGATCGTAATATGCAGGAACTCAAATGGGTGTATATATACAGACAACATAAAAACATAAATACCACAAATCAGTCCCAAAATTAAAGTTGGTGACAATATAAAAAAGACATACTGGAGAATCAGCATCCCAGGTGGATGTGGCTTCTCCTAACCGAAAAACACCACTATAACCTTTAGCCATGCCCTGATAACTGAAAAGCATACAAAAGCTTTATAAGAACTAAAGCAATTGTTTTAATCTGGAAGAAAAAAATTTAAAAAAAAACGAAGTTATTTAACAACATCTAAATCATTTCAATCTTCAAGATATTTAAAAAGTTCTACGTATACTTGAACCAAAATATGATGCATATGTCAAAACACATGAAACATTTTTTTAATATAAAAACACAACCAATAATTAGTCTTTCTTTGCAGCAGGAGGGAGAAGACTCAAGAAGTATAAAGTTGCACAATCAATCATTTGCACCTTTCATCACACAAATACAAGTATCTCAACCCTAGCAATTTTTTTAAAATTGCCAAACTGACAGCACATAGAAATGCAGTAAGAATATAGGCGTATTTCACCTCGAATTCCAAAACTTGACGCCATGACATCTAAAGCATATTATGCATATTAATCTAAAATTCGAAAGTGTTGTGAGACGATTTGAAAGTGTTGTGAGACGAAGATTACCAAATACAAACATCAAAATACCTTTCCACAGCTTCTCATTTCTTAAAAAAACATGAAATTTTCCAAATTTATTTGAGTAAACTAACACAGGCCCCATGAGTCAAGGGGTAACTTCACATTGGCCCAAACATGTACTTAATTGGATACCTATCATGTTCTATGTCACATAGGTATTCCAAACAGGTTGTTGATTTTCAAAGTGGTGCCTACAACTTATCAATAGTTAAGAATAGCAAATAGTAGGATCACCTGATTACACGTAATAATTTATTTATTGTGATACCGAAATCAATCAAAAATCTAATAGGGAATCAGATTTTTATTATGCAGAAACAAAGAGATTATAATCACAACATCAAGACAGGAAGAACACACAATACAACACAAAAATCCCGTTAGGGCCAAGTAGAACTGTAGTGTGTGTAGAGATGATGCGGCTCGGGGTGATGGATGGCCCTGGTAGTAGTGAGGGAAGAGAGGTGGTAGGTGAGGGGAGTAGGTTGCTGGGAGGTTGGGGGGTTGAGCCAGTGAGGGGAAAAGGGGTTGGCGGTCAGCTGGAAGGGGACCTATTGGTAACAGGTTACGACAACAGCAGCTGGGAAGGGAAGGGAATAGGCGGCTGGAGGAGGCTAATGACTGGATGGAAGGTTGGCGGCTGGAGTAGCAGAGTATGGGGTGTAGGCGGCAGTAAGAGAAGGCTGGACAGAGGGGCTGCGGCAACATGTGGTATGTTGTTCTGGGAGGTAGCTGTGGGTGGTGGCCCTAGGTTTTGCACCGCAACAGCCGTAGATGTTGGCCTACGGTGTAGCGATAGAGGTGGAGTCATGAGACTGAAGGTGGTGGGCTTCAGGAAACAACAAAGTGTTGTCTTTGATGGCGGTTGCAGCAGGGAAGTAGACGACAACTACGATATAGGGATGTGTGGGAAGGAAAGAACAGGGATAATCATCACATCGGAGCGAGGTAAAGTCGAAGCACAACTCGTCCTTAGATATAGCCCTAAAAGATAGAAAACTGGGGACCCCGACAACTACCTAACAGAAAACACAGCAAAAAGCTAACCCTAAAACAGAGAAAGATACATATAAATGCTAGTAGATAACTAAAGATTATGGCTAACTGAACCTGGACCGCACAGGTCAGCCTCTCCCTGAGAGTTGAGCCCCACATCGATCGTAAAATATTTCTAATGTCAAAAATATCCTTCCCTAAAAATTTACATTTCTCATTGCTCAAAGAGCCCTAAAATTATTGATATATAAGACAAAATCAGGAAAAAAAAAGGTAGATAATGATTTGAAAATGCGATGAAAATTCAAGGATATGACCATGAGAAAACTCAAAAAAATGAAAAAAAAAATTGCCACTATAAAACCCCAAATAAAAACTGGTTTGATAAACAAAGCTAAAGGTCAAAGCACACACCTATGAGTTATGAAACATAGTGTCATCAACAAACACTTCCTCTGTTTTCCCTATTGGAGAGCACAACAATGATGTGCCGTTTGAAGACAAAAAATTTTGAAATGCAGCATAGAACTATCCACAATCTATGCAAATCAGCACAACAAGGTCTTCCAGATCTTAAAAATGAAGAATGTTTTAGGAATTGGGGGATTTTTAGCAGCTTTATGACGAAAGGACAAATTTAAAGAGCATGATCAAGCACAAAGATCCAATTGGAACATTTCTAAAAAAATATGACCAAAAGCAACCCTTTGTGGCCAAGGCCCCATGCCATACCTTTATTTTAAGCAAGCTCAGATTAGTAGCAGCAATCAAGTGCTTATAAAGCCAATCTAAGTGTAAACCTTAGGCAACTCTTGCCTTAATACCAAAGTTTAAACCTAAGTTATCAATCTTCTTAGCCGTTTCTGCAAGCCATTTAGTTTCTTGAGCACATAAGATATTTATCTTTCTATGAATTATAATATCAATTAAATCCATTAATTTATCGGTGAGAGTACCTATATTCCAATATCTTATATAAATATTAGTTTCATGGACTAACTTCTTTACTCGCATCCGTCCTCACGCACTACACTCGGGGGCCGATGTAGCGACCATTGCACACTTTTCACTATATTCAAACCATACAGCGCGTCACTTTCAGAGGACGCCCTAGCACTTACACAATGATCAGAAGAATTTATTTCATAATTTTTTTGACAAGTTCTGCGCTGGTTATCGACTACCTAAAGCAACCCTCCACCTTTCACATCCGGACTTGGGACCGGCAATGGCAGTGTATGAAAAAATATGAGAAAAAATAAATATAACTTGTACAAAAGTAATATCTTCAACAACTATAAATATAAATATAAATATATATATATATATATATATATATATTTAAAGCCCAAAAAGGCTAATATATTAAATAGAAAGAAAGATACAGATACAATGTGTGGGAGGACCCAAGCATGGCACCCTACCCACTCAAAAAATCACAAATTGTTTCAAAACTAGAAAAAACTGCAAATTATATTAGATACTTAAATAAAAAGCCTAACAGTATCGAAATAAATAGTATCAAGTGGCTAGAGAGCGACCCAATTTGATCTTGCCTCTGCCTCTAGTTCTAGGGAAGGAGCAAGCTAATAACCTGGTAAGATGATCGTCATTGCCAGTAGTAATTAATGTATCATCCAATATATTCCCAAGCTGGAGTCAGTCTCCATTTTTCTTCTTCCTCCTGGAATAGACCTGTCATTCCTCATCTGAAGAATCAGTCTAATGGGGTGGTAGAGCTGAAGCAGAAGGAATACCAACCTTAGTACCCACAATAGGTTCTAGTACATGTGAAGTATGAGTTGTCTCTACATCGGAATACCAACCGTAGTACCCACAATAGGTTCTAGTATATGTGAAGCATGAGTTGCCTCTACACCGGATACTTCCTGAAGAAGTTGAGCTACGAGGTTCTCCTAATTATCAGTCTGAACACTGTCATTTGTAGGTAATAGCCCATCAGTATTGTTTTCTATGGGGTTTGAAGGTGTCAACATCACATCACTCGCAGTAACAGTAATTGCAGTGTCATGGGGGGCTCCTCAAGGGCAACAGACACTCCTATCTGATAGTATCCTCCTCAGGTGAAACTAAAATGTCCAGAACTAAAATGTCCAACTAAAATGTCCAGAGCAATGGGGTTAGACCCATCTTTATTCACTTGAACCTTAGATTTCAAATTTGGATGAAATTTGTGGCATTTATCAAGGATATGACCAAACATCTTATATTAGGTACAATATGGAGATATGTGTTACATGACGATTTGTTGTCAATATCCATTGTGAGTTGTGCCCAGTCAGACTTCACTAACATCCGGTAAAGTAATATCTCTTTCCACAAGTATTCTGGCCACAGAGGGTCTGGTTAGGTTGAAAGTAGACAGATCTAGCTTCAAAGGATCCCCTAGGATGTCCCCAATAGAGAGAACCTGATGGTGAAAAAAATGCAACTTGAGACCAGGTAAACTAAACCATACCTGTACTGTGGGAGTTTTATGATTTGGGTCGATATATATATATAATTTATAGAAAGAATACAATTTGTAATAATAATATACTTCAAAATAATTATTAACAATTTAAAGTTTATGAAATAAAAAATTTAAATATTAAAATGTTTTTATAATATTCTCACATTTCACAGCCCATTTAATATTTCAAAATCCAATTATTTATTTCTGCAACCCACTCCAATTTCAGTATACTCATAATTTTTAGTTCCACGTCATAAGGGAGAGTCTTGTATTGTTCATGTAAAAATAAAGTTCTGTAAATTTAAACTTGTAATTCACTTGGGAGGTTGATATGCTATATAGTAGCTTCATTGAGCTAAAATTAATTAGATTTGAGATTTTTAAATTTATGATTATATGTTTAACTTAACATTAATTATATATTTAATTTTAATAGAAAAAATTAACACCATTGTATTGAGAATTAGAAGGAATTTTAAAATATTATTTAGATCGATCGATTCAACGTAACCAAAACCGGTGCACTGATTCATCAACTGAATCAACGATTCACACTAATTCTCACCGGTTTGAACCAAAAAAGGTTTTTGAGATTAACTAGACTTGTTGTATGGCTTGTTCATAGTAGAACCGGTTGAACCAGTCGCTCTGATTTGATTTTTAAAACATTGTTCAAGTTGGAGATGTCACCTAAGCCAAAGTGGATCTATTTTCAAACAAGAATAAGATAATTTCAAATTTTAGAGTTTCATTTCCCTAACTAAAATTTTGGAGGTCAAAAAAGAGAATTTTTAAACTTGTAAATTTTAAAATGTCAAGTTAGAAAGTACATGTTCTCCTAGAGCTCAAGGTTTTGGGCTCAAGCAAGTTTTAAATGTCTTACTCAATAAAGCTCAAACTGACAAAATTTCTCATTCGATAAACCGCAACAAAAGTCTAGCAAAAGTCACTATTTTGTCAGTCTATTAACTAGCAATCCTACACCATGTTTATTCAATTTGACAAATTTAAGTGATTCAGATCCAAGAGATTTTCTCAACTAATTAATAGAATAAGACAAAATCGAAGAGATGATTATTGGTCAAGAAAACAATAAGCTGAGCACAACGTCATCATCAAGCTAAAACCACAATGCAAAAATCAAAAGAAACTTTCTTTTCAACAAGACATCAAAACGGTAAGTAATAGGACCAAAGAACTTATCCCAAAATTCGTACAAAGCTCGAGATTGAACAGGAGAGTTCTATCATCAATAAGTCCATCAAGGCACCAAATGCTAGGTTCACAACTTTTTACCAATGACCTAGCACAAGCCTCAACTACTAGACCATCAGCGTTTATCCTTCATCAAGTTTGCCAAAGCAAATGCATTGTATAAAAAGTAAGCTTATTTTTCAACAAGTTAATAAACCCAAATCAGATCCACTCCTTTATCAAGCCCATCAAATTAACAAGCATAGGGCCGAAGGCAAACTCACTGTCATTGATAAATGATAGAAATAAAATTGATCAATTATTTCATTTAGTAAATTGAAACATAAAGCTAGCATAGAAGAAAATTCCAATATCAAAAAGAAACCATAGTTATCAAGTCTATCAAACGTAACGCAATGAATTGATGATTGCAAACTCATTTGGCTCAACAAGTTATTACAGCTGAGCCGAGAAAATTTAAATTTAAATCTAACATCTAGTCTTTGTTTTGGATTTATCTATTAAAAAGTGGATGCCAAACTCCAATGTTACTTCAAAGTTAGGATGCAGCCTCAAACAAGGACCAATCTTCCGTGATACAATCATCCACACAAAAGCCCAAATTCATACTTTGCATCGACATCCATGAATATCCTCAAAAATCTGTAAAGTCAAATCACTTGGCGTGACATCTATACAAGTTCTTCAAGATCTATGGGGGTTGATTGGTTTGCAAAAAATAAATCTGCTCTAGACCACATCATGGCATTTATTGACTTTCTTATATGCTCCATCTGGTGAAATGGTCAAATGCATCAATGGTGAAGAAAAATGATGAACAGCAATCAATATATCGCACAAATCAAGCTCTAGAAGCATCAACCTCAATCAAAATTATATAAGCATTCCTGATTCCATAAAATGGACTTTCAACAATGAGTTCAAAGTGTAAAGAATGACTAAAGAAGGACATCCATATTGTATGTCGATTCACACAACGGAAAAGGAAAAAATCACTCAAAACCACCTAAAACATCAATAGATTGTAGGGCAAAATTTATCAATGCATTCAAAGCATTGAAATTGCGAGGGACTCTCCATGGCCGATTAAATTGTCTGATGATGAAGATGCACCAGAAGAATGTGACATCAAGTAAATTGGCCCTTATATGCTTCAACCTCCGTCAAAATTTCCTAAATGGCTCTAGTTCTTAAAACGAATTGTGACAATGTTCTCCTAAGAAAGATCTTTTCACAACTAATATGACCCATTCAATCGATCGTGATGAAAAAGACAGATTATGAGTGCAATGTCATGCAAATCAGAGCAAACCCCTTCAATTACCATCAACGTTGTTCAAATGTCATCCAATCAGAAAATAAGTTGCACAGATGTGTTTGAAACATCAAATTCACCTAAATAAGATGCCCAAATCACTTGGGCCACTGTTTTATCATGAAACATGAAATTATCTATGCACGAGATCAAAGGGGTGAAATTTGAGCTGCGCAAATAATAAACTTTGTAAGGAGAAAATAAAAGGAGAGGTGCGGAATTAATTAATTACGCACTATTTTTTTTTTATAGAAGGCAAATTCATTGATTTAAAAGGGAAGATATAAAGGTTTTAGTGAGTGGGTACAATGAGCCCACTCACACGGAATACAACTTACTCAAAAAGAGACTTTAAAATACTTGTATACCTAAAAAAAACGGAAATACACACACACTATATATATGTATGTATGTATGTATGTAGATATATATATATATATATATGTGTGTGTGTGTGTGTGTGTGTGTGTGTGTGTGTGTGTGTGGGTGTGTGTGTGTGGCGCGTCTTAGGGTTGAAGGATTTGTAAGCGCCTCGGCCGCTAGGAATAACGGGTTGGCAGAGGATCGTTTCGTTTTCGGCGATCGTCGACAACGACGTGAGCTTCTGCGTCGAGCGTCGACCTTGTCGAGCTGCAATCTGCGGCTTCTGCGTCGGCATCCAGCTCCGCTGCTGGAAACTTAATCTAATCAGGACAAAATTTTCAAGTGGATAATCTTATCTGCAACTTAATCTACCTTCTGAAAAGTTGCTCTAGAGAATTTAAAAAAAAAACTCTTTCATTAAGAGAGACTGGAGCAAGAATTTTTAGAGCCCACACACACAATTATATTAAAAGAGAAAGAATGTAAACTCAGTGGAGCAATAAAAAATTACACAATTTAAGAGAATTTGTCAATAAGTATAGCAACTAGCTCAGCAAAAAGTGAAGCAAAAATTCTAGAAACAAATAGCAATGATAGAAGAACAAAAATAAACTTCTAGCATCAAAACTTCAGCTGCTCGAAACAAAAACTTGTTTGAGAATACCTAGGAAAGAATAAATTGAATATTTGAAGTTAGTGTTTTCGACCAAAACTGAATGTTGAACAAACTATAGTTTCTAATCAAGTCCTTTTTCACTATGTTAATAAGGAATGTACTCATTCAAATAGAAAACACTATGGGAAAAACAATATCCACACCATTAAAAATTCATTTATTAGTGTTTAGCGCAATAAAAAGATCCCCATAAGCAATAACTCGTTACATTTCATTAAAGTTTTACAAATTGTCCAAAGAAAAGTGCTTGGTTGCATATTGCTTCAATTTAATGAAAACTATTGCCCTTTATTGCATGTTTGAGAACTTTTCTTCCAAGTGAAAGCAACTTAAAACAATTGATGCCTTCCATTGAAAAATATATAGTAATTAAATTAAATAAATTCCATAAAGCTAATAAACAGTCACCAATATGGATGTGTAAATATGATAAATCGTTCTGATAAATACTCAAACAAAATATACCGTTCAACAAGTTTGGTGGCTTTACCCACACAAACAATTAAAAGTCCAGTTGCCATGGGATCTAGTGTACCAGCATGCCCGACCTGCGATTTGAAAGTTAACTACCATCGGTCAATATTAGTAGCAGTCATGATGTTGAGTTTATAGTACCTTTTGCACATTGACTAGGCGCCGGAGTTTACCACATACAGTAAATGAAGTCCAACCTGCCTTGACTTGCAATATCTTAGTAATAATAAAAATAAGCATTGCAAACAACTAATATCGTAATAATTACTACAATCAAAACATGTACAATAAAGCCCTTCAGTCAAGCAAGCCTAATCTATCTATCTATCTATATACTTGCCTTGATTTGCAATTTCTTAGTAATAATAAAAATAATCCTTGCAAACATCGAACATACCCTTCAGTCGAGCAAGCCTCCATATGACAGTGAAAAAATCAGTCATTGTAAATAACCTCCATTTATATTTATATTTATATATTTATATATATATATATATATATATAGA